TTGTATTCTTCCCCATCCCTTGACATCAAATATCTAGAAATCTATTGATTTTCAATAATACTCAATGATACAGTTTCCACAGCCCTATGGGTACAAAGTTCCAAAGACTCATTATCCTCAAGGTGAAAAATTTTTTTCTCAACCCAGTCCTAAATGGTTTGTCCTTTGTTCTGAGAGCATTTCCCCAAATTCTAGACTCTTGACCGGGGGAAACATCCTATTAATATCCATCCTGTCACTCCAGTTAAGAATTTTGTAAGTTTCAATGAGATCAGCTCTTGTTATTCTAAACTCAAGAGAATGAGGACCCAATGTCCTTAAACTCTCCCTTAGGTAGAAATAGCTCCACATGAAGACTGCACTTCATGGCTTTCTTTTTTCTTCAAGCATAAGTCTGGTCAAGCATGAGGTCAAGCATCCTATTTTGAGGCTGAGCATGCCTAACATTTGCAGCAGTCAAATTTACTCTGAAGCTGGGAAGGTGAAACAGGGTATGTTTTGGTCAATTCATTGGGTGAATGCCAGAGAAGTTTCTGGCAGTGTGTGCACACTTTGGGATAAAAGTTATGGGTGGAGATAAATGTGATTATATACATCAACGTACACAATTTAACTATGCAGAGAAAGGTTTGGTGGGAGTTCTTGTGTAAGGCAATGGTTTTGAAAGGATTAATATTGGAGACTACTTTAATCTCTACGCAATCTTATGTGGTTGTCCAGTTGTGTATAGGGAGAAGTCCCATCATTCCAAGAAACAGTCTGGTCAACCTGTGCTCCACTGTCTAAATGGAAAATATACCCCTCAGTAAGGGGATCAAAACTGCAGACCACACTCCAAGTACAGTCTCACTAAAGTTCTATACAACTGGAACAAGGTATCATTCCTCTTAAACTCAAATCTTTTTGCAACAGAGGCCAATGCACCATTTCACTTCTTAATTACTTTCTGTACCTGTAGGTTAGCTTTTGCTGACTTGTGAAGAAAGTGCACCCCTCCAGGTTCTTTTGGCCATCAACACTTTCTAATCTCCCAGCATTTAGTCAGTAATCTGCAAGTTCATTCATCCTACCAAAGCAGGTAAACTCTGCAGTACTGTGTGCCGTTCTGATCACCCCACTACAGAACGGATATTATTAAATCAGAAAGAGTGCAGAGAAGATTTACTAGGATCTACCTGGAATGGAAGGTTTGAGTTATAAGGAGAGGCGGTATACGCTGGGGGACTTTTTTCTTTGGAGCATAGGAGACTGAGGTGTGACCTTATGGAGGTCTATAAAATCACGAGAGGCATAGATAAGGTAGCTTTTCTCTATGGTAGGGTCTAAAACTGGAGGGCGTAGGTTTAAGGTGAGAAGGGAGAGATGCAAAAAGGTCCAGAGAGACGATATTTTCACGCAGAGGGTGGTGAGTGTCTGGAATGGCCAGAGATGGAGGTGGAGGCGAGTGCAATTTTGTCATTTGAGACACATTTAGATAGGTACATGGATGGGATAAGTTTGGAGGAATATGGACCAAATGCAGGCAAATGGGACTAGTTTAATGGTGAAAACTGGGCAGCATGGACAAATTGAGACCAAGGGCCTACTTCCCTGCTTTAAACCATTGTGACTCTATGACTCATGTGTACCCATGTTATTGTCCATGTGCCATGTTCTTGCCTACACACTCAGTCTTTCCAAATTCCCTTGAATCCTCTTTATATCATCTCACAACATACATTTCCACCTAGTTTCTTCTCATTTGCGAACTTGGAAATATTACATTTAGTCCCCACACCCAAATCATTGATAATGAACATCTACGGCCCAAGGACTGATACTTGTGGTCAACCTCCCCCTAGGCTACATGGCTGCAATTGTTTGCAGCTGCTCCAGTGTTCCCCACATGGTGATCAGCCTCGATGTGCCAAATGCAGCATGTTGGCTTGCGGTTTTAGAAGTTCAAAAATAAAAAAGCCCTCAGTTGCTGGGCTATTTTCGTGCTGGAGTAACCGTGCCATAGGCTGTCCAACAACCTCCTCCTCTCTGTGACCTGGTGGCCATGGTAGGTGGGAGTTTTGAACAAAACAAAAATTAAACTTTACTATACAAGTAAAACAATTTACTATATATTGATATATACAACTCAAAGTCTAATATTCAGAATTAACAGGCGGTAAATTTGGTAACAGACAAACTATGGTTGAACATGTCACAAAGCACATTAAATCACAAATTAAGACAAATCCCAAAGATCTCTCACACCCCTCCCTGTCCCCAAGATGTTAGTGACACTACATGTCACAAAATTTGATTAAATTTTCACATGGGATTCCAAAGCTTGACTTTTGAACATCTGGCTTTGAAATTGTCTCAAAGCCATTCTGTCATGGACTGCTCACAGCCGGGTAGTTCAGTCTCGTTTCCAGGACTACACTCTCCCAGATTCTAGACACTGTACTCCAGCATCTACTGACAGACACAATTCCATCTTTTCCACAGACTGCTGCCTTCACCAAACTAGCTCTCCCCTGGCTTTCTCTGAATCTAATCTTGCTCAGCTGCTTGAAGCAAATACTGCCTTTGGGCTTCTATCATCCCACCCTCTGCTGCACTGGGTTAGTTACAGCTCACAGGCTTCTTCCAAGATTCACATGTCTCCCATGCCTTTTTCTGAGCCCTAGTCCCAGTATTTAACTGGACCTACTGGCTCCTAGGACTTCTAAGCTGTTTTAAGATCCTTGGACTTCATCCTGATCCCATCTACAAAGACCCAAGGATTTCAGCTAGCTCCTCAGCAGCACATTTTCTGCATGGAGCTTATTCCTTTGTTCCTCATTCTCTCACTCTAGCTGTCTTACTAACTTCAAGTGACTCTATATTGTACTGCACTTCTGTGACCTTTGAACTGTTCTGGGCAACCAATTGAAAACCTCGTAACAAGCTCTGCCCCATTGCTAAACAAAAATCAAATTGTAACTAATAGTGGGACTCAAAAATCAATGTTATTGATTGCTGGCTTACATAGTGCAGATGTATATAGGAGAAAAATGGATTTCATGACACAATTTGTAACATTAAACAGGGGATTCTGCCCTTTGAAAGAAAGAATACATTGCACTGATGCAGCATGTTCCATGACCTCATGACAAAAGTTTTATTATGAATGATGTATTTCTGAAGTGTAACTACTATTGCCAAGTGAAATGCAACAGCCAGTTCATTCACAACATGGTCCTTCAATCAGACCGAAAATAATTGTCTGATATCAAGGTGAGAGGGGAAAGATTTAAATGGGACCCAAGGGGCAACTTTTTCACAGACTGGGTGATGCGCGTATACAATAAGCAGATAGAGGAAGTGGTGGAGGCTGGTACAATTACAACAGTAAGAGGCATCTGGTTGGGTAGATGAATAGGAAGAGTTTAGAGGGATATGGGCCAAATGCTGGTAAATGGGACTAGATTTATTTAGGATGTCTGGTCAGCATGTACGAGTTGGACCGAAGGGTCTGTTTCCATGCTGCACATCTCTATGATTCCATCAACAATTAATTAATTAATCATCATAATTGGTTTTGTGATGTAGCTTGAGGTCTAAGCATTGGTTAGAATACTGGGGAAGACTTCCAAACCAGCATTCTCAAAAAAACCCACCATGAATCATCTACATTCCCTTCAGATAGCAGGCATAACTTCTATTTAACACCTCATCCAAAGACACGCCTTTAGCAGTACCAAGCCTCTGCAGTGTTTTTTTTAGGACATAAATGCTCAATCTTCATTTATCACAGTTTAGGCCATAGCTAGTATAGCGTGTCCATGTTTGACACCACACTTTTGGATGGCTAAGCTGACAAGAGAACACAGTGAAAGTTTTTACCTCTGGCTGAGGAAATTTAGTAATGTGGGAATGCAGCGAAGATCGGGAGGAGATTTAATAATGTTCAGAGTTATGAGGGGCATCAAGAAGAGTCAATAAAGAGAAATGGTTTCTACTGGCAACCAGCTCAGCAACCAGAGCAGACAGGAGACATGGCTTTTGATTTAGTGAGCTATCAAGAACTGGAAAGTGCTTACTGAAGGTGGTTGGAAGCAGAATCTATAGTAAGTTTCAAAAGGGAATTGGATGTAGATTTGAAAACAAAATGGAAAACCTTACCATGCTTTGGGAAAACAATGAAAAAAGTAAAAGTGGCTGGATTGCTCACAGCGTCATAGAATCATACAACAGATTCTTCAGTCCAACTAGTCGATACCAACCATAATCCCAAACTAAACTAGTCCCACCTGCCTGCACTTGGCTTATATTCCTCCAAACATTTTTTATTCATTAACTTATCCAAATGTCTTTTACACGTTGTACCCGCATCCACCACTTCCTCTGGAAGTTCATTCCACACAGGACCCGTTCTTGTGTAAACAAATTGGCCCTCGTGTCTTTTTAAAAATCTTTTGCCTCTCACCTTAAAAATATGCCCCCTGGTCTTGAAACCTCCCACCATAGGGAAAAGACATCCGCCATTCACCTTATCTACACCCCTGATCTAATAAATCTCTGCAAGGTCACCCTTTAACCTCCTGAGCTCCAGTGGATAAAGACCCAGCCTATTCAGCCTCTCCTTGTAACTCAAACTTTGCATTCCTGGCAACATTTCTGGGAAATCTCTTCTGATCCCCCTCCAGCTTAATAATATCCTTCCGATAACACTACTCAAAAGAGTCATTACAGATCCGATGGATTGATTGGCTTTCCTGGTTCTGGTCGATTTACACAACTATTTCCAAATAATAATACAACTGCTGTATTTTTCTGAGTGTGACATTTCCGATGGTAAGTGGCTGGTCCAGACTGAATTGGAAAGCTGTTGTTGCTTTAAATGCTGACAGACTGTATACACTCACTGAGAAAATGCAGGCTGTGGGAATGTGACAGGAGATAAACACATGGTAAACCATACACACACACATACGTACATGCATCATAAAAAGTCAGAGATGAACAAATACATCAGATCCAGTGCAGGCAGGGAGGGAAGCAAGAAACGCTAAAAGCCCTGCTCTTCCATAGGCAGGTGAAAGCTCTGTTTGGAGGGATGTTGTGTCTGCTGGACCTCACGTCTTAGTTTCACCCTGAATGGTCAGTCATCTGGCTGAGAGGTAAAATCCTATTGAGTTTCATGTGTTACCTCTTACTGCATCTGAAGAACTTCCACAATCATTAAGACTTGGAGTTGGGATTTGTGAAAATTAATACTAGATTGTAATTGATCCATGTAGATTTAACACACTGGTATTTGAATACTTTGACCATTGAACCTGCTTTCGGGAGTTACAAAGAGAAGTGACTGAGTGAGCGTGAGGCAAGCAAATGAAAAATAGAAGACACGGCGGTGGGGGGGGGAGAGAGAGAGAGAGAGACAAAGGCAGAGAGAAAGAAAGAAAACGTGAAGGACAGAGAACTAAATAAGGAAGTGAATTACATTTTGGGAGCGTGAGACAAAGGGACAAAAATAAAAATAGAATTAGGGAGGGATATAAAAAGCAAAAAAGCGTGAAAGAGATAAAGAGGAAAGCAATGAGGGAAAAGGAAACAGGAAAGAGTGAATGAATAAAAGAATGCAAAAAGACTTTAGACTGTGTATGAGAAAAAGAAATGGACAGAAAGTGAGAGAAAGGGGAGAGGGAGGTAACGAGGGTATGAGAGCAGAGGGAATTAACCTGAGGAGAAACAGCAATGGGTATCAGTGAAGGTGGAGGAAGTAAGATAGAGTGAAGATATTACGAGACTTCATTGACAATCTTTTGAGCAGGGAATGCCATCAGTTGTTTCTGCCTACGTACTCTTGCAAATCACTGCAGTACACCTGGGAGTTTGCAAATGTCCCAGATCTTAACTCCAGGAGGTGATCAATGCCATTAGAAAAAGTGCAGGAGAGAGGAAGTGGGTGACCCACAGATGGGATAGGATGGAGACAAAGGCAGGGCAGAAGTACACCAATTCAACAGTTCTCGAAAACCAATGACCAGGTTTGAATACTAGAGAGGTTGATGGTACCTCAGAGAAATGCAAGAGGAATTAAACCCCCAGCACTGTGAGAGATTTGACTGGATGCAATGGGAAAGGAAAGAGTAGCAATGCAGTATTACTGGGGATTTAATAATTAATTGACATAGAGAGGTGTTTCTGTAACGGCAAATGTGTTTCCTAAGTGATGTGTTACCTTCGTAACTGAGCAAGTGCAGGACGTTTTGTAAGTGGAAGAGCGAACATCTGGAAGTGAGAGTTTCTGGAGCTTGGGAAAAGATTGTAAAAACGGTACTTTGACAGCAGTGATCTCAGGATTACTCCCAGTGAAGTGTAGAGCTGAAGTGAGGAGAGGGAAATACATGGAGGGAGCAGTAATGCAGGAAGAAAGTTTTCAGATTGCTGGGACGTTGGGAAGAGGGCAGTTGTATAATTTGTACGTTTTGAATTTGTACTTGACAAAGACCAATGCTCTCGCAGACAGATGAACTCGTACTGTTGGTGACAGTTTAAACTAATTTAATTGGAAAATTCCAGAAAGGAGCAGCAATGAGATCAGAGGACAGAAAAACATAATCAACAGTAAAACTAGAAGCATCCCCCAAAATCACAGGGACAAGACTGAGGGGAATTACAAATGTGATGGAGCAAACATGTATGTATGTAATTAATACACAAATTATAACTAATAAGGGTTGGTGTGGGTTTGCAGGCATAAGGGATTGCAAAATAATTCCATTAATGGAGACATGTCTCAAACTAAGCCAGGAACAGTCCACAATGGTTCTCATCAGGAATGACAGACAAATTGGATGGGAAAGTGGCAGTTTTAGGAGTGAATCGAACTGAGTTGACTTGAAAACAGAAGGGGAGCTGCTATATTGCTGGGCGATTTTGTTTATAGACCTCAAAAAAATGAGAAGGAGACAGATGAGCAAATACGTTGAAAAACTTTAGTAATGTGCCACAAAACGAGAGACTTTAATGTCCCAAATATAGACCAGAAAACAGAATGTCGGGAAACTGAGGAATATCTGAACTATGTATATAGAATTTTGTCAAACATTAGGGACAGACTAACCAGAAAATTACAGAAAGGAGCAGCAATGAGATCAGAGGACAGGAAATTTTATTAAAGCAGTAAAATTAGAAATATTCCTCCAAAATCTCAGAGGGACCAGTTTGAGGGCAGTAACAAATTCAGACTGAAACTGGGAAATGATGTAGGCCAGTTATGTTGCAGTAGGATGGTCCTAGCTGACAGTGACCACCCCAAAATTCAGATTAAAGTAATTATGAAGAGGGACTGTAAAAGATCAAAAGTTAAAAATGCACAACTGGGAAATGCTTAATTTCTCTGTATTAAAGGTGGAACCAAATACCGCTTGGATTGGAAAAAGTCAGTCTTATGGGAAAGCAATAACTGATGGTGGGCCTTCAGGGAAGAGATAGTTCAGGAATAAATTAAGCATGTAATTTCAAAGAGCAAAGGTAGACCAATCAAAGCTATTATGGACTGGAGGACAAAGGAATTAAAAGTTTCAGTAGAACAGACAAAATAAGCATTTGACAATTGGCAGGAATAAGATTCAATCATTAACCTGGCAGAGTATGAAACTACACAAGGGGATTAAAACTGTGAATATGGGAGAGAAGTCGTGAGAAATGATTAAAATGTTTTCTAAAGATATAAAGTGGTCAACTCAGGCCAAAGTGTTATAGACCAAAGAGAAATCTTCACATAAAGGTAGAAGATGAGGCTAAAGTGTAAAGTTTATCCTTTGCATCTGTCTTCACACAGAAAGTGGAAGATTTGATGGTTAAATTTAAAGAGGAGAGGGGTAGTATGGATAACAATAGGTTAGAAAAGGCACACTACAAAGATTAGCATTACTAAAAGTTGTTAAGTCAGCTGATCCAGATGGAATGCAAACTAGGTTGCTGAGCAAAAGGTTGCAACAGAGTCACAGCGTTATAGAGGTCAACAGCACAGAAAAAGGTCCTTTGGCCCATTGCATCTGTGCCAGTCAAAATCAACCATCTAACTATGCTAATTCCATTTTCCAGCACTTGGTCAATAACCTTGTATGCCCTGGCATCACAAGTACACAACTAAATACTTCTTCAGTGTTATGAGGTTTTCTGTCTTTACCATCCTTACAGATAGTGAGTTCCAGATTCCCACTACTCACTGGGTGGGAAATGTTTTCTCACATCCCCTCTAAACCTCCTGCCTCTTACTTAAATCTATGCCCCCGGTCAATGATCTCTCCACCAAGGAGAAAAGTTCATTACTGTCTGCCCAGTCTATGCCCCTCATACCTTTATATATCTCAATCATGTCATCTGCACCAAGGAAAACAATCCCAGTCTTTTCAAGATAACACAGTGTGAAGCTGGCTGAACACAGCAGGCCAGGCAGCATCAGAGGAACAAGAAAGCTGACGTTTCAGGTTGGGACCCTTCTTCAGAATCCCAGTCTGTCAAATCTTACTTTATAACTGAAACCCTCCAGGCCAGGCATCATTCTGGTAAATCTCCACTGCACCCTCTACAGTGCTATCACATCTTCCTGTAATGTGGATTCCAGAACTGCACACAGCAAATAGCTACAAACAGCTGAGATATTGGTCGTTATCTTTCAATTTTTGTTGTAACTACAGGAAATATGCATAAAATTCTTCTCATTCCTTTTCCTTGCTATTAATTCCTGTGTTTTAGCTTTTATTCCTCATTCCATTACATCAACACTGACAGCTTAGCAGATAATGACAGTGCCAAGGTGCAGCTGGAAGAAACTCCTTTAAATTCACACTGAAGACCAGCCTGAGATTTCATAAATTATAAACCATGCAGTGATGAATAGGGCTTCGGTGTTGTAACACACTCACTTTTGTCACCATTATTCTGTAACAAACTCACGCTCTTCACTCTGTAACACACCCTCTCTCCTCACTCTGTAAGCCACTCACACTCCCACTCTGAACCACACTGTCTCGCCTCACTCTGTAACACACCCTCTCTCCTCACTCTGTAACACACTCACTCTCCTCACCCTGTGACACACCCACTCTCCTCACTCTGTAACACACTCACTCTCCTCACTCTGTAACACACCC